CCTATATAAACTCACCTTCATGAACTTAGAAGGTGCTGGTTCTTATCACTCGATCTATCCATACGCAAAAACTCTTAAAACGCTCTCAGCTCTCTCAAGCTTTTGTGAACCAGTGTTAAGGTGCAAAGATTCTTGAAGAAGTTCATTGATCCTCATCTTACACCTTAAAGAAGTCTTGCCATTTGCACGAAGCAATCATTCCTCATCAGTCAAGACTTCATCTCGTTGGAGAAATCAAAAATCACTTTCTACCAACCTCAACTCTAAAAAAGACGTTGATAGAGGCGGAGTAAACTCGGGGAGTTGAAAAACCTACGAAGGCTGTCCGGCTTAGTGATCAAGGAAGTCTTTGTGTAATTGTACTAACGAGTGATAGTGCAATCCTTCCATAAGTTGTGGAAGAAGAGTGGAGTAGGCAAAGTTGGCCGAACCACTATAAAACTCTCGTCTCTCTATCTCTTTTCTTACGCTTTTCATTTCTGCATCATACTGCTTTCACGACATTACCGAAAGTTCTCCTTATAACAAAAACCCGTGCAAAGTAAATAAACGAACTTAATATTTCCGCTGCGCCAAAACACCGAAAGGTTGTTTTTAGGGCAAAACACGAAAAGAGTCTATTCACCCCCCCCCCCCCCCCCTCTCTCTCTCTCTCTCTAGACTCTCGCTACAACTCTATCAGGACCAACAATCTTCGTTTCCTTCATTTGGAAGATCGAACTGGAGCATCTACAACTAGAACTGGAATATCTGGGGCAGCTGGTTGATGGTTTTAAGAAGCATCAACAACTTTAATTTCTTGGTTTTAACTCTTTTCTTTGGATTGCTCTATATCACACAATGAAATTACATATTTTAGCAGAATTGCAAAAATCCCGCCTAGCGTATCACCATAATCAGTGGTCTAGGCGGTCGACCAAGTCATCTAAATGCCGCTTAGGCACTGACCGCCTAGGCCTCCTAGGCACCGACTAGGCCTCTTAGTTAGCTAATTAACAATTGTTCTTTTTTTCTTTTTTAAATGAGTTATTTCACTCAAAATGACATCGCTTTGAGCAAAATAACTCTAAATTGTTCAAACTCTGATGTTTTTTAAGTTAATATTTAATATTTTAATATTAATTATTAAAGTATTAAATACTTTATAAGTATCAAGTTTTAAAAAATTTAAACAAATTTAAAAAAAAAAAAAACACATAATATTGCCCACAAGGAAAAATAATTACAATATTCAAAGCATTACCAATCTCTCTTCAGGGCACTTTCTTTTATTATCTCATTCTTTCTTGCATTTGGTGCGGTAAATCTTAACAAAACTTCTATTGAGATTTATCTCATCTTTGGTTATCTAATCAACCCTTTCTTTCTCAATCTTTTTTTATCTTCTAACTTTGGCAATATACAAAGGTGGGAGACGTGGCTCTATATCACTAACACGTTATTCTTCAAGTCCAGCCATGGGCTTTATACTACCTCTATATGATTTCAAATAAGTTTAACTTCAACAAAGCTGAGTACAAGAATGTATGTACTCATTATCCATATTGCACTTATGACATGTTTACATGGTATGCCACTCAACTCCCAACTCCTATAAGCTAAGTGCAACTCATTCTACCCAAATCAACCTCAGGTTACTCAAACAACATATTAATTAGCCTCCTCTTATCTTACACAACTTGTTATTACTTTGAATGATTGTATAACCCCTGATTTTAATTCAAAACAATTTTGTTAACAATCATATGAAAAATAGATATAGTCCATTTCAAAGCTTGTTTCCTACAATCATACAACCTAGATATAGTCAATTTTCTCAATTTTTCAAAACGGCTAATAAGGGGCTACCACTTTCAAAAATAAAAAATAAAAATTAAGGGGCTATTCTTTAGCATCTAAAATCATAGCATTCAAACACTTGCTTATATTGTTGACTAAAATATCACAATATAATGATGTAGTAAAATGAGACATGAACCACTCTAAGGGATGCTTGTCACATAACCACTCATATGCCTTAGCATCAATATAATGCTCTTCATTTTCTTCATAGTAAGTGTGAAGGTATTAATAGTGGTGGCCTGAAAACTTCTCATAAAGCATCCTTGATTACCTTTCCACTAAACCTAGCTTTCTTCATGTTTCTAATAAATGACTCACACAAAACATGTGTCACTGTAAGAAGAACAAAGGGAATAAACCCTTTTGCTTATCTGCAACACCATATATATATATATATATATATATATATATATATATATATATATATATATATAGAGAGAGAGAGAGAGAAAATCATGAAGTATTCATATTTGTAATTAGAAACCTATATCAATATTGATAGATACATACTTGAAATGAAAATTAACTAGAGTTATCAGTGAATCTAATATTACTAATTGACTGAAAATATAAAAGGAAAAGAATATTAATAATTGATTACAAATAAAAAATGATCCATAATTGACTAAAAAAATGGTCAGATCATTGCATTTTAATTAAAAATGGAATGGAAATTAAAAATTGGAGGAAAATATTTCAATAATAATATTCTACATTATCAATAGTAAATGCATATTTTAAACAATAGTAAAGGTAAATTAAAAATTGAACGGAAATATTTCAATAATAATATCTACATCATCAAATAAAAATGGAACGAAAATTAGGTAAAAGTATCACTGCATTTGATATTCTAATTGACTAAATGATTGAAAATATAAAAAAAATAATTAGCTAAATATGAATCTGATATTACTAATTAACTGAAAATATAAAAGGATAACTAATTTAGTGATATTCTACCATTATATATTTTCACCGAAGTAACCCGTCTTGATGGATTGAAAGTGTTAGCTCTAGACGAAGATGAATAAGATTGTGTTGCCACTACCAATGTCGTCTACAAAGAGGTTTCAATAATGTGTAAATATAATCGGTGATATTAAGTTTTTTTTTTTAAATGAAAAAATTGCTATATATCTTGACAAAAAAAAATATATCTTCTATACAAGTGAATAACGATAACAATTCATTTCTATAACTGAGTTGTTAGAGAACGAGCACATTTGCCTAATTGATGAAAATACTAAACAATGATAAATAAAATCTTCAAAAGTTATAGCACCGCATGCGTACATCTAAATATAGCTATTAATTTGAGCAATTATTTGCACAAATTCAAGCAATGATAACATCAAAATATATAAGCGATCCAAATCATATCTTTAATTGTACTATATAATATTTGATGTTCTAATTTAAATAATTATATATCGATTCATATATTATTAATATATTACAACAAATTCATTCCGTGCATCGCACGGGTGCAAATATTTGTAGTATAAAATGACATTTTAAGCGGTTATTTTGTTGTACAAATATATGTAGATTCACTTCCGATTTGGGTCAAGTCAGTGTATGCGGATTTTTCGTAGTGAGACGAAGAGATCAATATATTGTACGTTCAAAACGGATAATGCGGGAATGAAAAATTGATTCTCAACGTAGACCTATTTGAGTTGGAAAATGAAAATGGAAAGGCTTGTAAGTAGCCTTTGTCCACATTGGAAAAAGAAGTGAAGTTACACCATTATATATACAATACCCTTTTAGAGTGGGTTTGAATTGTATACCTTAAAGGTTCTCTAACACATGCAAGGGGGTGCGGCTTGACTCGTGTCTGCTACTATCTATGAGGAGCCACTCGTTGAGAAGTGTACTTTTCAAAGTACGGTTCTGGAGTATTAATTCTAATATTGCACAATTAATTTTGAATGTGCGCTTTTTATACGAGAAGTTGATTATACTTCTCGTACGTAACCTTCTGGGTACCTCTCAGGTGTAGTTTTCAGAGTATAGCTCTGGTGTATTAATTCTATACTACGCAATAAAATTCGAATTAATTCTAATTTTAATTTTTAGAACTAATGTTCAGATTAATGTTTTGTCTATTATGAAGGTTATAGACTAGGTTTTAAACCATTGTTAATGCCATGATTAAATGTTATTTAATTCATTCTTCTCATATATATATACCTTGGATGTGCAAGCGATTTTACAACACACTAGAAATCTATAGTTTTCTCGCTCTCGACACACTGCTCTTCTTCTCCTCTTTTTCTGTGTTCAAAACCAAATTCTAGTTCGTTGGGCCTAGGCCTAGGCGCCTAGCTGTTTGAGTACTCAAACACTAGGTCGAAACTTGTTTTATCCTGGAAAACCTAGCCTACAACGCTCATAGCACCAAAGGAAGAACGCAAATAAAGTTTTAAGAAAAGTGTGAGTATCACACGATTCAAGCTTATAAATCTCGAACTAACCATATCCTTTCGTTTTTTGTGCTTGGTTTTCCGAGAATAATATTTTTGCAGTATTATATCCCTAACAGAAATATCTCATTTTAATATATACTATTAATAAAAACAAAATCCTTCATTCTAACTTCCCTCTCAAAACAGTCATATATACTATTAAGGTTTGCGTAATATTGTAAAATAGTGTAGTACAATTGCTAATAGAATATATTGTTTCCTAGCTACTTTCCTATTCGTACTACAATTCTATATTAAAATTCATATTCTAATATTGTAAAATAGTGTAATACAATTCATAATAGAATATATTGTTTCCTACTTTCCTATTTGTACTACAATTCTACATTAAAATTTCTATTCGTAATACAATACAATAATATTAAAATTGAAAATTTATAAAAAACAAAATAATACTCCATATCATATAACTATATTAGATTGAAAATGTTATAAAATATTGTAGAAAATTTTTTACATGTCAATCATTATAAATCAGAAGGCATGATAACATTTTTTTGCAAATAAAATAATAAAATTATTCCGTTTCAAAAATGACTAATCAGAATATGGTGGTTTCCGACCCGAAATCCGTCGTCAACGTCATAAGGGTGGCGGTGCCGGAACCGTCATTGTTTCCGCACGCGGTGCCAAGTCACTGCCCGTCGAAGCGGGGAGTTTTATTGCCATTCCCCGCCCTTGCAAGATCAATGCATTGTTCAAATCCATGGGAGATTCCTTGCCAACCCGAAGATCCTTCGGATCTGACGATGCTAACAAGTCTTGGATCGTGAGTCTGATCTCAAAATTCATATATACTCCCTAGCTTCCTCATCTCGCAATTTAATAAGCAGACCTTATGGATTAAGTTTTATTTTTTGAATGAAACAGTTGAGTCATCCCTCTGCTATAAGCATGTATGATGATATAGTGAATTCCTCCAAAGGGAAGAAGATCGCCATGTTTCTTGAGTATGATGGCACTCTTTCCCCCATTGTTGAAGACTCCGACAAAGCTTTCATGGGCCTGAGGTTAGTTCAACATTAGAATTGTTTATAATTTTATCTTTAATTTTATTATCTAAATATATAATAAAAAAATTTATCCGTGCATCATACGCACATCGCACGGGTGTTTAAAAAAAAAATAAATAAATAAACTCACACTTGGTTCCCGTTATAAAGCCAACACAATACTACTTTTCAATTAAATACACAAATCATTACTACTTTTCACATAAATCAACTTAGTGATGCTTTTCACTTCAACAAACAACTTAGTGCTACTTTTCACTTCTAAAAAAAAAAAAAAAAAAAAAAAAAAAAAAACGAAAATACAAAGAAATGGTCCCCACGTATTATACCCAACCAAACATTAAACAAAAATAGTATAGAACAATTCCATGTTTCCAATGTAAAGCCACTTAGAGCATCTACATCAGTAGATAATATGGGGAGATTGCAGCATTAATTCACCCACTTCAAGTTTATAGCTAATGTAGGAGAGAATAAATTTGGGAAGAATTCATCTGCAAGAAGAAAAATAATGTCAGAAAGAAGAAAAATGAAGGAACAGCTGTTGTGCGCGTTTTGCGCACAGCAGCAGCCCACACGGGCGCGTCAGGCACGCCGATCGGCGCGCCTGAACCTTCTTTTTTTTTTTTTTTTTGGTTTTTGTTTTTTAGTTTTGGTTTTTTTTTTTTCCCTCCCCTCCCCATACTTTTTTTCCTAATCACTCTTACATTATCCCCTAATTCTCCCAAACCATTGTGGATGCTCTTATAGCCAAACACAAATAAGAGTACACATTTTTTTTTTCCTTTTTTTTTTTGGAGATGAGTACAAATTTTGTTAACATCAAACATACGAATATATATATTGAGAAAGACCTCAACCTAATCGTTTTGTAACATCAATTGTACCGATAGAACAATAGGACCCTACCCGCACGAGCTTAGCTTAATGGTTAAGTATGCAGTATTTGGAGAAGAGATTAAGGTTTGAACCTCGGCGGTAGCAGTGTGGAGATTATGTCCAAAGTGGACAGATCCCTTGTGCGCACCGACATTTGACCCGGTCTGCTAAGCCATTGAGTCACCCTGATTTATATCCTCCCAAATGTTTTGTCGGGCCGTTGGAGTTGAGAATTCAACCTTTTGAGAGAAGAAGAATAATAATAGGACCCATATGTACACCCCATAAATACTAATGCATAATATATTTATTTACAATTCGTTCTTCCAAAAGGCTGAACTCCAATTCTAAGGGCCCCCCACACCCCGACCCGACAGAGCATTTGGGATGATTTATTTACAAGTCGTAATAGAGTTAGTTGTTGACATACCATTGGAATTTCAGTGTATAGAACCCATTTGCATGAAGCGTAAAACCCTTATTCAACAGGAACAATTCGATGCCTACCGTATAACAACAGGACAAATTGCTTGCCATAATGAATCCATACCTTTAAATGCAACAATAATACCACACCATCATCAGTTACAAGCTAATTAAGCATAACAAATTAAAGAACTTAATTCTGATCTGAGCCGAAAATCATAACAAACTAGTAGATATATGGATGCTCACAAGGTTCAGAATAGATGGAGACCTTCACAGGCGATTGGTGTCTTGCACACTTGGAACATATATAATTCTCAGTGCAGCTCTCCTAAAAGATACTTCACTATGGGTGTTTGGTAAATAGTTGTTAATTGATTAGGTTAGTGAGTTTGACTAGTTGTTAGCATTAGTTGATTGTAGGGACGTGTTTGGTAAGCTATTACTATTAGCTTATTACATACAAAATGACTTTTTCAAAAATTTGATCGAAAAAATTACTTTGAATAGCTTTTTAAATTTTAGAATTTTGGAGCAATAAGTTGTTACAAAATTAAACATTTATATTGATTGTTTAACTAAGTCAAACAACTAATAATGGTCAAATAGGCTAATTATTTTATCAAACAGGGGTCAAAGACCTTGTGGTCAAGTGGTATGAAGTAACTCTCTTAAGTGAGAGGTCATTAGATTGAGCCTCAGTGGATGTGGTATTGACTCGTTAGGCTTTAGTAAGTTCAAAGTATATATATATATATATATATATATATATATATATATATATATATATATATATATATATGAATAGGGACAATAATACTCATAAAAAAAATACCAAACATGGCATATATATTTGTAAGATAAAATACTATCTCAATAATATTTCATTTCCACGATTATTACTCCATAGTTTACTCAAAATTTTGTATTTTAATTTCAAATAGTAAAGTACTATGGGGTTAAACTTAAATTAAAATTTATGATTGATTGCCAATATTGACCTTGTGGTGTAGTAGTCCTTAGTACAAAATTGAACATAAGATTGACCATAGGCCACCATTGTTGAAAGAATGGTTGCCTAATCTTAGTCCAAAAATAAGTGATCAATATAATAATCTGTCACCATTGTAAGCTGTAATGGTTGCCCATTATATTTTGTATTTATTTAAAAAAAATTAATTTATAATAGGCAACGGTTTTTAATAGAAATAATTGTCTTAAATAGAACTTGTTTTATAATAGACAACCATTCAAATAGAAATGGTTGCCTAATATTACCCTAGACTAGATCTACACAACAGATCGAAATGGTCTCACACTACTCGCATCGTACTGCTTCAACACCTACAGATCGAAATCATCCTCTGCTCCGATCCACCGTCTGCCTCGATCGTCTGACGCCGCCGTTGCCACCCACCGCCACAACACCCACCGCCACCACGCCGTTGGCCTGCGGCGACGCACCGCCACACGCACAGCACCATCCACCGTCGCACGCCCCCACCACGACGCACCGCCACAACCGCCACCCCGCCGACGCCACTGCACCACGCCGATCTGCAGGTTAGTTTTTTTTTTTTTAATTGTTATTTTAATAAATAAATAAATGTGATATTTTATGATTTTTATATATATATTCTTGCTTAGGAAAGTATTCTAAGTTGCATTATTCCTTGTATCTCAGTCTAGAATTTTCACCTTTTCCTCAATTCAGTAGTTGCTTGAAGAAATAATAAATGGAGGTTCCTTTTTGAGCTTTTGTGATGTTATACTTAGTTATACATATTTTTAAATCTATTTTATCTGGAGTAATAGGAAACTAGTACTGTATATTTTAAATACTAGCTGTTGGGGAGAACTAATGGGCATCCTAAATGTGCTACTAAGTACTATGTCTTTTGGTTTTTTTTTTTAGGAATCTAGGTACTAGCTGCTGAGTTATTGTTTTCTTACTTGAGTCAGTTTATTGTTACACTAATATTAATCCAATTTGCTCTATGCAAAATGTTTTCATCAATCTCCGTTGCCCATTTCTTTAGGCATGACAATGACCCATAACCCCTCCCACTTCCCTACTTTAGGTTGGTTGTGCAAGACAGTGTTTCATTACTGTGAAATGGGTTATGTATTTTGTTCTGACTCAGGTTCTCTTCCTCTTCTATTATTCTTGCTTCTAGAATGCTTGGATTATTTAGTATATATATATATATATATATATATATATATATATATATATATATATATATATATATATATTGAGTATGAATTATTTAGTTTGATGAATTAGATTGAATTTGTTGATGAGTTAAGTAATGGTACAATGTTCTACTTTCTTTCATTGATAATAATTGTAGCTCAAAAAGTGGTTCCCACTATGTTATGAAGAATTAGTCGAATAAGGGATATGAGTCAGTAAAGCATAAGAATTAGTCCACTGAAATTATGACAATGTTTCAATTTCTATAGCTTGCCACTGAAATCCATTTTTACTAGTATCATTGCGTATCCATATCTGTATAGTACTTAGAGTAGTATTTTATGAATTCACAGATATGGATAGGAGTTGGATGTTTGGAAAACGCACTACATTTCCATATATGCAAGGGGTTCATGGGTTTATACAATGTGCTGAAGAAAATAGAAGTAAAAAGGCAGGGGACTTTATTGTGTGCCCGTGTTACGATTGTTAGAATTTTAAAAGATATCGTAGTTCTGATAAGTGAAGAGTCATTTGATACGCCGTGGTTTTAAGGAAGGATACACAAGATGGATATGGCATGGTGAAAGCTTAATTCCTAGTGCAAGTGCAATTAAGGAAGGTCCCCCAGCCAAAGTATTATGGTACTTACCCGTAATACCAAGATTTTGATGAAACTCCTCCATTTTCTATTGGCGTTCAGTCTTTACCTTTAGAAGAAGATAACCTTGAAATAAGTTGCATGCGTAGTGATCATGGAGAAGGATTGTGGGTTGACAATCGGTTGTAATATTGTAAGCTTTATAAATTGTTAAATAATTTTTAAGAGTATTTTATTCAAGTTGAAATGCAATATAACCTTTAGAAGAAAATAACCTTGAAATAAGTTACATGCGTAGTGATCATGAATAAGGATTGTGGGTTTACTAATAATTTTATTTTGTTTGTGCAGATATATATAGATAATCATGCATGATCAATCTATGTCTGGTACTACTTCAGACCCTCCTACTAAAGCTACTGACCGTAAAAAAAAAAAAAGAGGGCCTACAATATGCAAAAAATTGAGAAAAAAAAAGGCTTCAGAACTTTCAATTCAGTTTGATGAAAGTGGTAGGATAACCGGAGAACATTCTGCTGAGTTTTCTACATACATTGGGACTTTGGTTCGTGCTCATGTTGATATCAATTTCAAGAATTGGCGTAAAGTAGATTTAAATCTTAAAAATACCATTTGGGAAGATGTTAAGGTATATTAAATAACTTTATATTAATAAAAATAAGTAGGTATATATATATATATATATATATATATATATATATATATATATATATATATATATATATATATATATATATATATTATGTTGCTTATGTGCGTTAAACTATTCAGAGGCAATTTGGTATTGAAGATGCTTCAAAGAAGTCAGTGGTTTTGAAAATTGCACGGACGAGATGGGGAGACTTCAAGAGTAGATTATTACGTGAGTATGTACACAAGAAACATCAAACGTATAACTCTCCTACAGAACTTTATGACTTTTTGAGTGCAGAACAAAGGGCGAAGTTTGTAGCTAGTAGACAGTCTGAAGAGTTTAAGGTATATTTAGATCATTTAGTTATAAGTAAAGTGTTTTATTAATATTAACATGTCTGTGAAATCATAGGAAAGAAGTCAGAAGGCTAGGGAATTGCAGGCGTTAAATGAGCATCCACACTTCTTAGGTTCTAGTGGATATGCAAGGAGACGACAAGAGTGGATGAAAGAAGATCCTCTATCCTCACAATCTTCGTGTGCGTCAGTTAGCTCGTCTTTGTTGTCCGATGATCGCAGCTTTGATTGGATACGAGCAAGAACAAAAAAAAGCAAATGATGGAAGTTACTTTATTCCAAATGAAAAAACACAGGAAGTGTTTCATAAAATTGTAAGTATTATATTTGTTTAAATGTCATAATAGTACATAATACTTATAAAAATACTTGTACTTGACTTATTTTATTTGTTGGAACAGATAGAAAAATGTGAAGAACTTAATCAAGGAAGATTTGAACCAAAAAGACACCATGGCGTATTGTCAGTAGCTCTTGGAAAGGATGATAATTCAGGTTCTGTAAGAGCAATTGGTACATACTCTACCATCCAAGAAGTGTTTGGTCGACCAGATCGGAAACAAAGCATATCGAGTGGGGTTTACTCAGAAGCTGCTGTCCAGCAAATGTTAGAGAACTGTAGGCAAAATACAATAATGGAGGTGGAAGCAAAGATGAATCCCAAGATTGAAACAATGGACCAGCAACTCAAGTTTTTGATGAAGAACATACCGGGGACACATCTATTTTCAGGAGGGGTCTCGGCTGGAACTCCTCTAAGTGATCCACTGCCTACTCGTAGCAATTGTCATTCAGTTGACACATATCCAATTACAACAATTCAGGTAATATCAAAAGTTATTTCATATATCAAAATATTATTTCTTGTTAGATTAATATTAACCCACAATTTTGAATAATAGAGTCCAAAAATGTGTTTACTAGCAGTATGCCCCAATGGCACACCAATTGTTGTTGCAAAGGGTATGGCTCACCCAAGTACTGACGAGACTATGGTGAATCACCAACCATTGTTGCCTAACTGTGTCAAAGTTTCGGTGGATGAAGTGATTAAGGGTAGAGAACAATTTAATCTCCCTTTACCAGATCAACAATATGTCACTATAGCAGATATAGTAGACAGTTTTGCACAATGGCCTATGCATTTAGTGAGTTTAGAAGAGGTATGTATTATTTTATTTATTTATTAAGTTAGTTTTCGTTATTTATATTTAAAAGGGGTTAGTAAACTTACTATTTTATATTTGTAGAGTTTATCAAAACAAAATAAGAAACCAAAAGATCAAAGTGTTGATCTATCTACTACTGGTGCACGAGCTCCCATTGTTGGTGATGATGTCTTACCGCACTTGGGGGAACATTGCAAGTGTTTAGTGGATTTGTTGATAGGCTTTCCACTTGGTAAAGACTGTATTGAGTTGGAGCTGGATAAAGCAATCTTCCATCATCAAAACACTCGTTCTATTTTTGTGATGATGAATGATATAACGGATTTGATGATGATGAATTGGCTTAATGTCTCAATCATACAAGTATTTGTACTGTAAGTTTTTTTTTTTAATTATTATTACTGTATTTTATATATATGTTTACCTATATTTAGTGAAATTTCTTATTCATTATTTCTTAATTTTCAGATTTCTTAATCAATTGTGCAATCAATATGAAGTTAGGTCAATCGGGTTTGTCTGTCCGACCCAGATTTCCCACACTATGCTTAAAAGCAATTTCCGCAAAGTTATATCATATTTCGTCCACGTCATGGAGCAGCACAAAGATAAAAACTTTATTTTAGCACAATATCATCAAGAGTAAGAAAATTGTTCTTATATTTTATTAATATAACTTATAACTTTATATTTGGAGTTTTAGATATTGAATTATTAATATATATTTGTGTTTTTAAATGTAGCTCTCATTGGTTACTTTTGGTGATTTGCATACGGTCAAAAAGCATATGTATCTTGGATCCCTTGCCTTCTAATCGCGACATAGGTTTAATTAAAGGCTCTATGAATTTGTAAGTAAATACTTTATTATTTATATAAGTATTTTAGCAGCTATGATATTATTTATAAATTTTTATGTATGCTTATAATTATTATAGAGCATTTCGCTCTGTTCCTACGGGTGCACGGGTTAAGAAAATCAATTGGAAGCCATGCAAAGTATGTATGAAAATTGAATTTAAGTTTTAGTGTGATATTTTGAATTACAATACGTTGTTTAAATTAGTAAAATAATCTATGTATTTTGTAGTGCCCGAGACAACCGCGAGGTCATGAGTGTGGATATTATGTCATGCGATACATGTATGACATCGTGACAAAATATTCATCTGTTGATAATTTGGATGGGGTAAGTGAATTTAAATAGAACTATGTATAGTTAAGTTATATTTTATTAATTAACATATTTAATCATTTTATTAATTAAATTTTTTGTAGGCATTTGAAAGTGATAGTCCGTATTCTATCCACGACATAAATGAGCTTCGAGAGCATTGGTCAAAGTTCTTTCTTTTCTGAGTGCTTATAACTTTTATTTTACTGATAAAAAGTATTTTGTTTTGATGATAGTATTGAGTTGGGCATGTTTTGATGATATTATTGTATTAAAGTATGAGGATTTTAAGTGTTATTGTATTTTGATGATAGTATTTGCATTGTGTAAAAGTATTGTGTTTAATTTGATGATAGTATTTGCATTGTGTGTTAAAAGTATTGTTTTAAAGTGTGTTGATAGATAAATTGTATTGTGGAGTAATGTTGATAGGATTTTACTAAGCTGTAACAGGTACAGGAATTATAAAAAAAAAAAAAAAAAAAAAATAGGGATTGTAATTAAATAAATTAAATAATTAAAAAAAATTCATTCGCGACAGTTCCTAGCCTAAAACGGTCGCGGATGACTAATTATTAAAAAAAAAATAAAAAAGGAAAACACGACCATTTCTAGTTTAAAATGGTCGCGTTTTACCTTTGGATTAAAAAAATAATGATAATAAATAAATACAATATGCAACGGTCACGTATTACTGACAATGCGCGACCATTTAAAATTGGTCGCGTAAAGTTCATGGCTTTCCGCGAGCTTAGCATAGGCGACCATTGTACAATGGTCGCGTAATGTCTTTTACAATGGTCGTGTATGTGTAGTTCTGTACTAGTGAGTACTCAAAAAAATTTATGATTGATTATTTTTCAAACCTTCTTCATGAATACAAAAACATAAGTTGAATTTGGTTAATGCAAGAGAGAAACATAATACAGCAATTAATAAACGAAAAATAACACTCTTAGTGCCCAATTATAAAGATATAATTGATTCAGTCCTTCAACTATTTGAGCCTCCATATTTAGTCTATTAATTATTATCTTGATTGTAGATATACTCCATGTCATTGAGGGACTATATCCAGTTATCCACCACCAAATTATTTAACAGATTTTGCCAATAAAATGGGGACTCTACCACCAAAATGATAATTGAGGAAGTAAATGCAGCATTTATATTGGACAGCGGTGACAAAATGCTGAACTTGGCCTTGTGTAACAATCACGCCAGTACCATATTAGGCGGCGGTAACAAAATGTTGAACTTGGCCTTTCAAGCCGGTCTTGTTATAAGAGCTTTATACTATATATCTTTATACTTGTGTAATTGTCACCTTGGTACCATATTGGGCGACAGTGACAAAATGCAGAACTTGACTTTTCAGGCTAGTCTTGTTATAAGAGTGTTTTACTATATTAGTATATTTCTTTATACTTGGTTATTGTCACCTCAGTACCACATTGAGCAACGGTGACAAAATGCTGAACTTGACTTTTCAAGCCTCCAATCAACATTATTTTAGGGGATCTGTTACATTTGATGAATGTAGAAGTGCTTGAATTGTTTTCCATTTCATGCATGCAGCTGTTAAAGAACAAATGCAGCACTTATGCCATGGACTCGGGTTCACCTTGTAAGGTGGACCCGAGTTCAAAATACACAATTTACATAATGAATATTCACAATTTACATACTGAATGTTCACAATTTGAATTGTGAACATTGTGCATGTAAATTGTGAATATTCAGTATATAAATTGTGTATTTTTAGATTCGGGTCCACCTTGCAAGATAGAGTCAGAGTCTAAATGTGGAGGCTTTAGTAATTGAAGAAGTGAGTCAATTATTTCACCATGATTTAGGGACTAAAAGTTGTATCTTCCCTTGATAAAAATGATTTGACGATTATTGAAACATGAGTTATGTTCAGGTAAAAATGCGTGTATATTCAAGTGTTTAAGCCTCATGTGCAGTATCCGTGTACAAAGATATATGACAACACAAAATGAGTTGAGGTGAGTGCTAGAGTATCGGCAGGGTTGAATGGAATTCAAAGGATGTTATGTTGAAGATTGGAGTCCTCCTCACCACTCTTGGCAATAAGTTGATCTTTAGAATGCTAATTGTGGTTTTATCATTTGCAATTCTTTTGGTGAAGTCATTTGATCGTGGAAAGTTTTGCTTACGTGATGCCCGAGATTCTCAAGCTTGATGTCGTGTAATGATACATGTTGAGATCATGATTATTTAGGAAGTCTTGTTTCATTACTATTACATTGCATTTTTTTAGCAATTAAAATCAAGAAATAGTATTAACACAACTGTCTCTACCAAAAAAAATTAAAAAAAAAAATTATTAACGTAACTGAGAAGGAGAATCAAGTAGTCTGGAGGAGACCACTCGAACTGACCCGTACAAGCCCCAAAAATCCGCAAATTATGCTGTGGACTTGTGTCCACAATGTAGAATCCAAAACGACATCGTTTTTAGGGAAAACGCGGCATTTTAGTTTTAAAAAAAAAAATTGATTTTGTCTCGCTGTTAACGGCGTTATTCGTTTTTGGCATTATGAATGTACAGTTATGAAATTATAAATGTACAGTTATGAAATTATGAATGTAAGTTATGCAATTATGAACACAGAGCTTTGAGATTATGAACTTACAATTATGAACATATAGTGATAAAATTATGAACATAGAGCTCTAAAATTGTGAACATAGAGCTTCGAAAATTATGAATGTACAGTTAGGGAATTATGAATGTACAGTTATGGAATTATGATTGTACAGTTATGGAATTATGATTGACATTATGAACTTACAATATGAATATATAGTGATAAAATTATGAACATAGAGCTCTAAAATTGTGAACATAGAGCTTCAAAAACTATGAATTTACAGTTATTGAATTATGAATGTATAGTTACGGAATTATGAATGTACAATTATGGAAGTATGAATGTAGAGTTATGGAATTATGAACACAGAGCTCTGACATTATGAACTTACAATTATGAACATATAGTGATAAAATTATGAACATATACTCCTATAACGAAGTGGTCTGAAATTTAAAAAAAAAAAAAAAAAAAAAAAAAAAAAAGTGGAAAATAACAGTGCCACTAACGGCACCGTTACCATGTCCACAATGCATGCTGGACACGGGTCCATAGCATAACGATTGCCAAAAACCTTGGCGAGCATATGGGCTGAATTCGAAACACTTTACATTACATAGTTTAAATATTAAGAAACTATTAAAAAATTATTTAAAAATTACTAAATAGTTATTTAACTTATTAATCTTAGCCTTCGAATTAGTTGAGGTAATTTAATTATTTGAAAACTACCAAATAATTAATCATTCTTAGCTTAGGAATCGATCTTTGTAACAAACCCTATAAAAAGAGGTATTATTTAGAATAATGGGGAAAAAACAAACCCAAAAAAAAAAAAAAAAAAAAAAAGTCTAAGAAAAGGGAAGGAAATGACATATTTGTCCTTGCATGTTATTATTAATATTATTACACAAAGGGTATTTTAGTTTTTATATCACTTCTTTCATTTACATTATTTCTCCCTACCAAACATTGTAATTGTAATTCATACTTTATTCTCACCTTATTCTTTTCCCACAAAATTACAATTCTTTTCCCTCTTAATTCCTTCCTTCCAACCAAATGCTCTGTAAGAAAATTTTGGTTCTCAAGCAAACTCAATATTTTCTTCCATTTATTTTCAAAACTTTTCTTTGTTCTTTTTCCTTATGTTTTATATTGCCCGTGAGCACACAACAAAGAGAATAACCTTCTTATAATTGGTTAGGCAACTTATGGAAAATTATGCTGTGCACGTGCACACGGATGCAAAAACGACGTCGTTTTGACTAAGGGGAGACGAACCTGAATTATTTTTTTTTTTAAGGGGAGACGCGTGTTTTTAATAAAACGACGTCATTTTTGCATCCGTATGCACCATGCATGGTGCATACGGATGCACAGCATAATTTGCCGGGTTCATGCAACCATAGCCCGCCCCATGCGAGTTGGCGGGCCCTACAGGCCGGTCCGCGGATTTTTTTTTTTTTAATTCAAAGTTCAAAAATATAAGTAAAGCCTACAAATAATATTAATTTTTTCGTATTTAAAAATAAAAAAAAAAATTACATTTTTTAAAATGTTAATATTATATATATATATATATATATATATATATATATATATATATATATATATATATATATATATATATATATATATATATATATATATTAAAAGAGTGTTATTCACAAAATGATTTTATCAAAAGTATCAAACAATTAAAATATAACACTGCCCAGTCATTATATTTTTCTCTCTAGCTTTCTTGGCTAGCCTTCTCTCCTTCTTGATCCTGTAACAAGCTTCCTCCTTCCTTGTTTTTCTTCTTCCTTCGTGTGCGCTTCTCTTATGGATTCCCAAGTGCAGGAAACACAAAATTCACAGGCTCCTCCACCTAGTTCACCAAATATTCCACCTCAACAACCTCACATACCTCCCACTCACACTTATCCACAACAACCGCTGTTACCCCAAGACCATAAACAGGCATGGGCTTGCTTATCTATTCACGGTTTTGAATGGAGATCAGTCCTGAAGATGATGAAGACTTTCGTTTTGTTCTTGTTAGTAAGCTCCTCACAAACAAGATCATCAAGTTTAACTTTATGAAGGAGACTATGACGGCTGTGTGGCGCCTAGGCAGAGGCTTAGTGGTTACTGAACTCGCCCCAAACCTTTTCATACTCCAACTCTTTCATGAAGTGGATATGAATCGCATCCTAGAGGACGGACCATGGTTATTCGAGCATAGCTTACTGGTCCTAGCGAGGCTTCAGCCAAACGTCCCTCCACATGATGTTCCTCTAGATAAGGTAGACTTTTGGATTCATGTGCACGGCCTCGTGTTCATCTGGATAAGGTAGACTTTTGGATTCAAGTGCACAGCCTCCCCCTGGGCTTTTTCTCTGAGAAGGTTGTCGCGACAATAGGGAATTTCGTGGGAACATTTATTCAGTCAGATAAGAACAACTTTTATGGGTCATGGAAATCTTTCCTTCGGATCCGTGTTACGCTGGATATTACGAAGCCCCTAACGGCTAAGATGAGGATCAAGCGGAAGGATGTTGACTGGTCATGGATATCTTTTCGCTATGAGAGACTCCCGCATTTCTGTTTCATCTGCAGAATGATAGGTCACACATAGAAGTTTTGTCTGAAATTGTTTGAAGGGGTCAAGCTTGATGATGTCAAACCAGTTGGTCAATGGTTGCGTGATGTGGGTCGTCGTACTTCTTCGAAGACGAGCAATAGGTGGCTTCCGACAATCCTCGTCGTCTTGAATCAGGACAGGTGAGTGGCCTCAATAGTGACAAATTTGCTATAGAGGGGAGTGGAACATCAGATAAGGTACAACAGTCTGCGCAAAATATTATATAGGGTATGGAAGGCGGTAGTTTTCACCACGTGTCCTCGGAGCGTGGAAACATGCAGATGGAGCAGGATGTACCGTTAGCTGCTGATGGGGATCGTTTTTTGTCTGATTATGTGGGCTTGGTCTTGTTGGACCAGAAGCGTAGAAGAATGGATTACCAAGGCCCAAGTTCTAATGTTTCCAACCAGCCCAGTTCGTTGAGTCCACCAGAGCCTCTTTCAAAAAACTTCCATATGGCGGGTCATGTGAGCCAGACCCGCCCAACACAATGAGTGTAACACCTCGAAATTTTGAAACTTTTAAAACTTATATAATAAAGGTAAATTCTCATTAAATCCCAAAATAGAGTATTTCTAAACATAAGAGTACGGGGTGCTATACCACATCTGAGCTGGAGAACTCAGATGCACAGGCTAAACTAACTAACTATCCTCGATACATCATTGTGGCACGCAGGCCAAAAAGGAAAACTATCTATCTACTCCAAGTTCTTCTAGCGCGCTCTGGGAACTAATCAGCTGTACCTGAAAGCCAAATATATCTGTTCAACGAATGATGCCGGTAACCCACTCTAACGCGTTGAAATACCGTATAAGTATATATATATATATATATATATATATATATATATATATATATATATATATATATATATATATATATATATATATATATATATATATATATATATATATATAAGAAAAGTCATTTTGAAGCAGGAAGATATATCCTAGGAAACTCTAGTTTCAAAACCGGAATAGACTCGACAAATAGGGACAAGCACATTCAACAGTTATAACCAAGCATGTAAAGACACTAGCATATATCCTATGGGATAGGCACATTCAACAGTTGTAACCAAGCGTGTAAAGATACTAGCATATATCCTATGGTCACGGATTCACTTCATCTCATGTATATCATCATTCAACTCATCACACAAGCACACTTTGTTGGCGCCACAGGACCAATCGCATGCCGATACATGAGGGTCAGCGCATATAGCTCTGACACGGCCCCGCAGCACCCTGCCTCGTATCGCAACACGAAGGGGTCGATCGCAACCGACCGATGAACCGCAGCTCATCATAATGTTTGATCGCAACCAAACAGTGGACCGCAGCCCAAGAGTGATCATCTGACCGCAGCCAGGAATATGAACCGCAGCTCATGTAAAACGTTTGATCGCAACCAAAAGGTGGACTGCAGCCCGAGAGTGTAATTCTGACCGCAGCCAGCTTCTGAACCGCAGCTCAGGAATAACCAATTTGATCGCAACCAAATTGGGGTATCATGCACACATAACACATAGCAAGCACATGCAACCCATATTAACACATTGGGAAAGGGGAGAAAACGTATAACGAAACCTATGTGTGGTCATCCACATACTAGGAATAATCCTAAGGGGTTCATACTTCTTTCACCTAGGCCAACGGGATACCAATTCAACTAGCATGCGATATATATAAGACTCACATATCCTACGAACGGTACCCGAAACATCAAACTAGACTTAGGCACGATAAACGGAGTCCGTTGGGACACCACGAGGGTCGGGGAAACATCAAACGGGGAAGCCGGAGTCCCGAAGTGGAAAATTTCCAGCAGGTAGCCGGTGGGTGGAAGGCCACCCGCCGGTGACCAGTCTCCGGGCAGCGGGTGCCCGGCGGGCGGTCGCCCACCCGCCTGCTGCCCGCTGCCGGCGACGCCCTTTTCGGGAAGCGGGTAGGTGGCGGGTCCCCCTACCCCCACTGACTTTTTACCAAAATAAACGTCCCGGGATCCGTTGTGGAACTCGAAACCATGCTTAGACACTTTTAAACGCAATTGATGACACCACGTAGACAATTAACGGATCAAAAGCAAGAATCACATAGCACATATCCTATCATGACTTCTAAACATAATCAACACCCGAACATGCGAAATCCCACCCAATTATATCAAGAATATCACAATACGAAATTCCCAATTTTAACCTAGGGCTCTAATCATATTCGAATCAATAAAACCATAGTTCATCTTTTAATCATCTAAACATCAAGATTCATCAATAACATCACATAATCATCAAGAACCTCTCAATACCATCAAGATCATCAAGATCACACATAAAATTATCTCACAATCATCAAGAACATATCATTAATATCATAAACGATTCATCAAGACACGAATATAGAGAGGAGGCCAAAGAAGATAATTATAGCAAGGAAAATAGGTTTTGTTGAGACATGGGTTACCTCTTAGCCTTAATTAATCCTCCCTTGGCTATTAAGGTTCTTCCCTAAGATTTCCATCTGTTTGATCTCCCTAGGTTTGGTGGTGGGGAGTCCTTTGGGAATTCTTGTGTGGTGATATTTATTGTGGTGTGACTTCTTGGTGCTTCCTATGTCCTTATATATATATCTAGGAGTCCTAATTATGGTCTGAATGGTATGTGTTTACTAATTCTATTCCTTATAGGACTAAGGACTTGGTTTAGGGATAAGGGTCCATGGTCCCTAGTGGACCATATTAATTAATTAAGGGGAATCCTAATCATAATCTGAATAGTAAAGGCCTACTTTCTTCATTCCTAATAAATAATTAGGTCTATGACTCCTAATTAGAATCTGATTAATAAAAAGGTTTACTCACTTTATTCCTAATAGGCTTAAGACTCTAGTTTAGGCAAGGGTCCACGATCCATGGTGGACCACATTAATTAATTAAAGGGAATCCTAGCCAAATTAAATCCCTTTTTAATTATTATTAAAGGAATTAATTAAATAATTAATCCGGGATTGAAGGCCGTAACACGGGGTGTTACAATGAGTCTCCTAACTTGGAACTGTCGTGAGCTTGGTAACCCAGCGACAGTTCAAGTTTTAATGGACCTTGTCCACTCAAAGAAGGCCAATGTGGTGTTCTTAATGGAAAAGTTTGTGGGCCTAAATAAACTCCAGCCCATCAAGGCCAAACTTGGTTTCTCGGGTCTTTTCGTGGTTAACAACGAGGGCCAGAGAGGTAGTCTCACTATGTTCTGAAGGATGGCACAGAGGTGTGTATCAAGTCGTTCTCAATCAATCATATAGATGTTGAGGTCTATCTCTGCTCCGGCGACCCCAAATGGAGATTAACTGGTTTTTACGGCGTCCCTAACCGCCAACATCGACAAGATTCCTGGTCACTCATCAAACGGCTCTCAAATCTCAACACACTCCCTTGGGTTGCAATTAGGGGTGTGCAAATTTCGGATAATTTTCGATTAACCGACCAAACCGACAAAGTTCGGTTAACCATTTTTGAACTGAACTTTTTCGGTTCGGTTAATGGTTAAAGGAATTTTAAAACTTCGGTTAACGGTTAATTCGGTTTGAAAGGTCGGTGAACCGAATTAACCGAACGGTTAACAGAAGTTTATTAATATATATATATAAATATAAATACTTTTTTTTTTGGTGTCAAACCACACATTGTGGTCCGGGTTTTTCTCTGTCCGTTTAAAAGTCCAGGTCCACCCGGTTCGCTCCGAGAGGCACAGAAGCTGGCCCAAAGGGGATCGTCACTTGTGGGAATTGAACCCGGGTTATCCCAAAATTCTCCCCCACAAAAAGAGCTCATTTGCCACTTAAGCTACCCAATTGGGTTCATAAATACTAATTTGAACTTATGGATGTTTGGAGTTTATAATTCATGTTTTTTATATTTTGTTATGAAATTTATTATGAGATGTATTTTATATTAATTGGATTTATTAGTTTAGGTGTTATTTTTAGAATTTTAAATTTTAGCTTTAAAAAGTTTGGTTAACCGACCGATTAACCGAAAAAAATTTCGGTTCGGTGAATTCGGTAGAGCAAACTTCGGTTCGGTTAACGGTTAAAGAAAAAAAAAACTTCGATTAATTCGGTTCGGTTAACCGATTGAACACCCCTAGTTGCAATGGGAGATTTCAATGATGTCTTTTATCCCGATGAAAAAAGAGGTGGTAACCCCCAACTAGCTCGTCTTATGGAGGGTTTTAGTGAAGATATTGAGTTTAGTGGCCTTAAGGACTTCAAATTTGGAGGCTACCAGTTCACTTGGGAACAGGCCAGAGGTACGCCGCACTGGGTGGAGGCCAAACTCGATAGGATCCTGGTCTCGGATGAGTGGTCTGACTTATTCAACCAAGCTACTGTCGCTTCCATTAATGCTTCGATGAGTGATCATTTACCTTCACTTACAAATCTCGTTGTCTATCTTCAACGCCTGTAACCCTAGGTTTCGTTTTGAAAATCTCTGGCTTAAGGAATCTCCTGTGCAGGGAGGTCATGCAACATTGTTGATCAAATTCTCAAGGACATTCTCTTCTCGACTGTATTGGTCGCTGTGGGAAAGCCATATGGATTTGGGGGAGGAATTATGCGAGGGATTTCCATAAGCGGCTGAACTATTGGAGGAAGGCTGTGGACCGAACAAAATCTCGTCGTGATGCCCATGGGGTTAACTTGTTCAGAACAACGCAATGGGAGTATTTAAGAGTCCTTAACCAACAGAACGACTACTGGAAGCAGAGGGCCAAGCAGTTCTGGCTGAAGGAGGGGGTGTTACCAACTCGAGCTACTTTCATACACAGTCAGACGACGTAGGTAGAACAATGCCCTCTCGCGGCTCAGAGACATCGATGGTAATTGGGTCTTGCGAGGTAATGGTCTGGATTCCCTTATTACTATGCATTTCAATGATTTATTTTCCAGAAGGGATGGCGATCCTAGTAACATTCTTGAGGGTATCACCGAAAG